CCGCCAAAAGTAATTTTCTTGTAGTCTATGTTTGGACCCATTACAAACTTTCGACTATTGTTTCGGTTACGTATGTTGAGGAAGTGTCTATAACTTAAAATCATCACTAGAATCCTCTATTTAAGTTTTTGTTAACGTTACTGTACATTTATACATGTATAATATGTATCTATGTAAATAAATGCCGCTTAGCGACACTTGAGAAAATTAATTGAAATTTATTAACGAGTGAACTATTTGATAGTTGGTTAGGTTAGGAAATATCATTGATATTTGCAATTGACACGTGCACGCTTCCATTCATACTCACGCACACGTACGCAACCGCATATCGTTAGACACATTTCAAATGCATATCGATAGGTGTCCTTCACCTCATTTATGGAAATATGCCGCAAAGCAGATGTATTTGCGAATGTGGATGTATATATGTACATATGTAGATATATATCTATGTTTGTTATATATGATGTATATATATCTACGACTCATATCCAAAGTTAGTTATGAATATGGTGGTTGCCATTTGCTTTCGCTCTAAATCGATTTCTGTTCTCTTAAAGCACGCAAACACACACATTCCTTTGCGCGGTTAAAAAAAAAATAATTTACAGAATTTACATTTTCTAATGCATTTATGTCGTATGTCTTGTAAATGTGCTATTTTCCTCGATATGTAAGATATTTTATACCTATACATACATACATATATGCATTTATAAATGCACTATATTTTAATTATACGTAATTTCACTATGTGTTACTGCCATTTAATGTTGTTCGTATGGACAGAGGGGGAATGGATGGCAAAACTTTTGCCATTCTTGTACTGCATTATTCTAACTGGTTTATTTTCTGTTGTGACTTTTGCCTGTTGTTAGCATTTTCAATAGAAAACCAACAATAAAATAAATAACATACATTGCTTTATTATTATATATGCATATCTATAAACTGAGACTGTGTATATACAGAGTGAAAAAGAAAACATGTTAACTTCGGTTGCACTGGATAATACAAGGGTATTACACAAGTACATAAAAATATTTACAAGAATTTTGGTTGGTCAGTTTATATGGTAGCTGTATACACAGTGACTCGATCTAAACCTTTGCTTCGGAGATTATACTATTGATTTGGGCAATAATTCATGCAAAATTTCTTCCAAATACCTCGTCGAATGAAAACGACTTCTATACAAGCACTTGACCCGATCGATCAGCTTTTATGGCAGGTATATACTATAATGATACGAACGGAACATTTTCTTTGGAGATTGCACAATATTTTTTTTTAAGAATTGCTTAATCATAATGGTTGTCTGTTTGGATTAAAAGTGTTTGTTCAGCAGATTCTTACAGAATATAAATTTCCTCAAAAATCTACATCAAGTGATTTTTCTTTCGTATGAAAAACGCATATATTCGAAAGTTTTGAAGTACAATAGGTAATTTTAACACTACACTCCTATAGATTAGTTTTTGGTCCGACCTATTGTGTATAGTACGTAGGTACCAATGTAAAATTCAAATAATTGTTTGTTAAGTGTTATTTATACTTGTAGAGTGGAGCGCTGTGCTGATTTCCAGGGCAATAATGCAAGTTTACGAAAATTTAAAATTAAGTAATAATGCAATGAAAATAATTTTTGAAAATGCATAATGAAAATATATTATTTAATGTTGCTTCCATTAGTTGATAACCACTTCACCGATGCAGAAAAATAAATAATCTGCTCAATTACTGTTCAGGACATAAAAAAACACCTATTGGTATAATTGAAGTAACTTTTTTAACAGATAAACAGTGGATGATTATTTAAAGAGTTTCTTGTGAATAGTTTTCTGGCCGAAATACGATGCTAGATATCAGTAGAGTCTTCTCTTTTGAACTCAATACACAGGACAAACCATAAATCTGGTGGTTAAAGCTGAATAAAGATCAAAGACTGGCATCTTAAAAAGGTATCAACTGTACTTGGTAAGCTTCTGAAAAGTTCGATTAGTTCTAAAAAATGCTATAGATTAGACAAAAAGCTGTACTGTACTGCTGAACCTTTGACACAAAAAAACTTATCGACGATAGAAGAAGCGGTATCTGCTTGGGAAATTTTAAGCACCCTTAATTGCAATACACAGTTTAAAACAGGTACTGAGGTTTTTGGTGGATAGAATCATATAAGAACGAATAAATGGAAGGTTGACGCCCGACGACATAGTAAGTCATATGCTGCAATCAGAACTGGATGTGGCTAAAATGAAAAAGTGAGAACTCAGAATGAAGGAATGGCAGCGGAGAAGCATAAGACTTCATAAAGAACTTTGGAGGTAGGATGTGAAGAGCCATTTATCGCCCAGCTTGATCCTGCGAAGTAATGTTTAACGGCAGTCCCGCAGGCCCAAACACAAGCTACAGAAATAGGGTTTATTACGTAGACATATCTAGCGGCCAATATGAATCGTGCATGCTGCCAGTTTCACTGTGGCATTATCTTTGGAAGATTCCCTGTCCGGAAACAAAAACAGACTCATTCATGCATTCAAGCATATAACAGCAGAATATGTAAACAATGGATGGATGCCATGTGATAGTAAATTTTTCAATATTGTGCCGTTCTTGTTGTTTTAACGGTTATCAGTCCCCGTTGGGATGGTGAGGGTTATCAGTGTTGTCGTCGATGTCATCTAACGGGAGGCCCAGGAAACGTGCTGTTTCGACGGGGTCGGACCAAAAGGAAAAGGGTGTTAGATAAGTGGGGTTGGTTGGGCATGCAAAGAGGTGGTCAGTGTCATGCAAGGACTCGTTGCATGCAGGACATACATTGGGTATGTCAGGGTCTATTCTGGATAAGTAGGAGTTTAACCTGCTACAATATCCAGAGCGAAGTTGCGCATCCTAGCAGGAACTGCTTGGAGAGGAGTTCATTATGATCCTTAACTGGGAGCATAAGCGTCTCACTATGTAAGTGTTCGATGGGAGACATCAAGAGGTCTCACTCGTGGTCCGGAGTGCTGTATTCTGGCAGGTCTGTAGTTTCCTCATCTGCGTGCCACTGCATCCAGGCATATGGTCGCTGCATAGTTAATATTGTCTGTGTCAATATCATGCTCGCTAAGTGCTGCTGTCTTCTATTTATCTTTCGTGTGTGCGTTCGAATACAAGTACATATCTATACACGTATGGACTTGTATGTACATATATATACAAAAGGAAACTGGAGCTGCTGAATAATTGCTGTTATACGAATTTTTTCAGCTGCCACTTGTTGTTGTTGGCATTTTTGCTTCGCATGCTTTTGCTATACCCTGGACATGTTTAATTCATGTTGCTATCACTTCTCTCAGGAGAAAACGTCGCAGATTTTATAAAGTGCATTTATAAATCATCAGGCTGACGAGCTGAGTGCATTTAGCCATGTACATATGTCTGTCCGTCTATATAAGTATGTTGTGATAACTAAATATCTATACAGAATTTAGCCCACATAACCCATAAAGGCACACCCTATTGTTCACAACA